AGTTTTCAAGGATCACAATGCTTTGCTGGCTCTAATGCAAAAATAAATAAATAAATGCACATTTTTCTTTTATAATCATTTGTACATTTATTATTACTTTTGAAAATGTGAACTTTACCTTTAAATTGCATGGTTCAAGTATAGGTATCTGAGGATCATTTTTATAAGAAAAAAAACAAAACATACGATGCATTTTGTTTTTAGCATTCATCCTGTTTTTTTTACAAACAGTATCATGCAACAGAGATCCCTAAAGGCTAGGAAATGAAAATCATTACTTGTTATTTTATTGAAGAATAATTCCCAAATGTTTACATATTATATGATTTATATTCAAAGGCATTAGATTATTGCTTACACACTTAATAACAATTTGATATAAGTCAGATGCTTAGTAAAGGAAGTCATCGCATTGTAGAAGCGACAGCTCTTAGATGTTACAACATCGATCTGAATGGGTATTTGGCTATTCATCTTACTAAAGGGCGGTGGTCTACCAATGCTTTATGATGCACTAATCTGAGAACAATTTTCATCAACGAGCGCACAGAAGGATGAGAAAATACCCAGTCATGACCTGTGTTTTTAAAACAGGTGGCAAAACAATGGCAGAAAGGATTCAGAAAGACATGCAGCCTTAAGAGCCTCTCTCTGAGTTACATAGTTAATACGGTTGCAAAAAGGCTGATGTCTATCAAGATCAGCCTCATACAACTCTTGCTGCTTTTTTTTTTCCAGCGAAAGGCAAAACAAAACCCCGCAGTGCAACGGTTGCCAATTTTACCAAGCAGGAGTAAAAGTAAGTACTGTTAAAGTTGGATTTTACTAGTCACAAAGAAATCATCTAGTCTGTATTTGTAAGTAGCAACCAATGGTCCCAGGGCCACTAACAATTATCCATGCAATTTTTATTCTATTATTTAACATTTTGTTGAATCAAAAATGTTATTAAGTATGGAATAAACAATGTTGGATGTCAATTACTTTTAGTCAGATTCAAATAATTTCAGAGAAAATTGGGTTCTTTTTGTGGAAGTGTACCAACAAATTTCATCATGTTTGTAGATAGACAAATTCAATAAGATCAACAAGTAATGCTGGATTTTTTACTTTGCATTCCGATAACAATGGCCACCAAGACAAACAGAGAAGGTGAGTTACCCCAGAGGAGACACAGACCACAATTAAAAGGGACATTAAACTCAGGAGGTACACCTTAAAAATGCATTCAATTACATTAACTATTAACGAAAACATAGTTTATTTGTGTGTCACTCAGCTGTAGATCCTCAAATCATCTCTGAATTGGTGCCGATACTGTCCTTCCTTCTGGAGGGTGGCTACTTTTCTTCCCCATGCTCCCTGTGTGTGTTGTAAAGTGGCCACCACTCCAAGCTCGCTCCTGTGATGGACTACAATCTCATGTTTACTTTACTAATTTGTATTGAGATTGTAGTCCATCACAGGAGTTATCTTGGAGCGGTGGCTACTTTACAGCAAACACAGGAACTCCCGGCCTAAGATCTCTACTGCGCATGCTCCTGCCCGAGAATCTTCAGACCTTTGGACGGAAGCGCTCGTCGGAGACACAGGCAAGTTTTAACCTTTCTGGTAACTTGTTTTTTTTATGTTTTTGCATATATCTACTGCTTGCTAGCAGTAGATACATGCAAAAACACAGAGGGTTTAATTATCCTTTAAGGTAATTTAATGTATTTTTAAGGTTTAACTCCTAAATTTAATGTCACTTTAAAACTACGAATACTATCCTGTAAACACAGCAACTTTCCTGAAGTCACACAGTTCACTTAATTGACCCTAATCTGTGCAATTTCCAGCAGAATAAGCACATACTCTCATCAGCAGGTCAGTAGGGGTGTACATCCTAAGGGCCCATTCACACCAGATGCAGTGCGTTCTGGCCAGCTCACTTTTTTGTGGGGCAGGAGGGGGCGTGGTTTGCCATTGAAGTGAATGGCACTGTAGCTACGCCCTCCGGCCGCAATGCGATCGGCCGCAGGGGATCGCAAGGCACATTATGCCTGCGGTCTGGTGCGATCAAAATAGTGCCTTGTGATCCCGTACGGCCAGAGGGTGTGGCTATGGTGCCATTCACTTCAATGGCCCGCCACGTCCCCTCCTGCACTAGAAAAAAGTGAGCCGGTCGCAATGCAAGGCAGTGCGTTCTTGCCAGAATCGGGCCGGAACGCACTGCATCTGGTGTGAACGGGCCCTAAAGCTTGTGCTCTGTAACTTCCCCTATCTTTCTCTGCTTCCTGCATCACCAATAATATTCCAAGCCCCTACCGCAGTGCACCACAACACATAGCCAGGATCAGGGTTTGGCTGAGTAGAACTTTTATTTATTTATTATTTTTAGCTCCCTAGACAATTACAGATTTTTCATATAGTCTTATCTAGACCAGTGATACTTCACTAGACTTGTGGTTTCTGCCTTAATGTGTGACAAATATTGGAATTTTGGGATCCCAAAAGCAGAGTCTAGCTTCCCAGCTGAAGTGCCAATGCACGGGTTAGTCACTTCAGATCCAGCTTACTTTAAAACTGAACTCCAGCCTTAAGTAGGGTACACACTGTACACATTTTGGCCTGTTCCTGATGAACTGGCCCAAATTTGCACAGTGGCTCCTGCTGTAGGCACCCTTCTGCCCAGAGTCCCTCGATCAGCTGATCGAAGAAGCAGGTTGGAAAATTCTCAGAAGATCGGAGCTGCTAGTGTGCATTAGAAGCTTCAGTAAGTCAGATAGAGCCTCCCTTGTTTCCTGGCTGTAGGAAGTCCAGCATCCTCTAGCCCTTTCATTCACTGGATTTCAGTTCTTTCAGTCATGGAGGCTCAGCATCACATGTGGGGAATACATAGGACTGTCAGCAAGAACATGCAGTCTGCTTAGGAAGAACCACTCCTCAAGAATGACATCCACCTACGATGTTTTGATGTGCATTACTCCTCCCAAGAGCCAGCCCATTTCTTGCATCAGGATGTAACAATGCAGGGTGCTGTGATGTTTAAGGCCATGTTCACACCAAATGCAGAGCAGATCCGGTCAGGTTTCTGCACACGCACGCTAGTCTTTTAGATGCGTTTTTTACGTGTTTTTGGCTTTAAAAAAAACATTTTTTTTTTAAGTTTAAAATGGGCTTTTAGTGCGTTCCAGGCATTTGCATGGTGTGAACAAGGCCTTAGGGAAGCTGCAACACTCTGCCAGCCCATCCCACCAGCTATAATCCACTTGCATTGCATAGAGAAGAACAGAGACCCAATGATTATATCATTGTGTCTTAAACAGGGTATTTAATGAAAATGTAAAACTTTTTTTTTTTTTTAAGTAATTACATATTGATGAGGGGGAGGAAGCTAACAAGAAAAGCAAAACATCAGCAGATTAAAAGGTGAACTATGAGGTGAGTGATGTTCACTCAACCTCATAGTTCGAGCCGACGTGTGACAATGAAACTGTCACAGGTCGGCTCAATAGATCGGGAAGTGAGCGAACACATACTGTCGCTCACTCACTTCTCGATCATGCCCCTGCAGAGAGCCGTGACTGTCACTCACGGCTCCCTGCAGGGATTCCCCCCCTCCCCGATTCTCCAGCGCTGACTGGAGGAACGGACGGGGCGGGAACAGCTGTCAAACACGCAGCTGGGTGGATCTCGACAGTAATGTCGGGATCCGTCCCCGTCTCAGTATACCGCGAGCTGAGCCATTCACGTGTTTTGTTTCTTTTCTTGAAAAAAACTAGCAGAGAAATCTTTTATTCAAGCAGTGCAGACATAACAGATCACACCTGCGCCCTGTACCTTTATGCATTGCATTAGTGATATGCTGGTATGAGGACTTTACTATATCGTGCTCTTGTCAACAAAGCTCCAGGGAAGTAGCTGAATAGCTTCAGTCCTGGGCTTCCATTTTCATTGATCTGCACATGCACAGAATAAGCAACAGGAAGAGGAATTCAAACCTGGCAACCGCTGCTGCAGGCAGGAAAGTCAGACAACACTGTGGTGCTTGGGACAGGCATGGCACAAGGTAAATTCCTTTGGGAATTCCTTTATCAGGGATTCTTTTTCTGACTAAGTTCTCCATGTCTTCAGTTCCTTTTTAAATATCTACTTACTTTCGTGGGGGTATTGAAGGGAACCAGCGAGGATGGAAATATAACTGCAACTGCCACTCTTAACGTTACTACTTATTAATTCATTAACCTGGAACAAGAATACCAACAGTAAAGTCTAAGAAGGCTGAACTCCTATACTACATACTTGTTCTAGGTCGGTGAGTCACCAGATACTGAAAAACCAGGATCACAATAACAATCCTGAAACCTGCACATTTAAAACCAGATTAGCAATAATAGCTGCCATATTTCTACCTTCAGAGCCATACTTTGAATGAAAAGCAATATTTTCAAATCTTGTAAACGAAAAAAAACAATATTTCCTAATTTACATTGGTCAAAATAAAATAACAGTATTTTTTTTGCCAATTTATTCTTTCTTTACAAATATAAAATATTTTCTATTGTATTTTAAACCCTTCTATTGGGTTCTTTAGGGGATGTGTCGACAGGCATTTTTTCCATCATGTGACGTGTACTGGGAACAAAGTCAGCAAAATCCTTTTGACTTTAATGAAGAATTACACATGACATTTCAAAGGCTTCCTTTGACCTGCCCTGTGTTGCATTTCTTTGGGCGTAGCATGTTCCATTAAGGTGCGTTTGAATTGCAGGGAAAGGAGGTCAAATGCAATTTTTTTGTCAAACGCTGAATTTTCCATTCAAATGCAGCTGCATGCATTCGAACGGAAAATGCAGTATTTGATGCCTGTCAACTTGAACACATCATACACCCATCTGGACATTGAATTTAAAAGCACCCAAAACCAGATGGTGGTATAATGCGTCTGCTTGCTTCTCAGACAAACATTTAATAATCATCTCTTCAGAAAAATATATTAAACATATGACATCACTTACCTTTAGGACAGCAATAAATGGAACAAAATTAGCCCTCTGAAGTCCATTTTTATAGAGATCTGAAAAACATAATTGTTATTAGCTAAGAAAATGAGTCGCACAGAAATACATGTGCAGCCCCTAAAACCTTCTGTAGAGTGGCTACTAGAAATTTAGCTGTGCTAGTACTATAATCAGTCTAGCTAATTCATAGTTGGTTATTATCTAGTTAATTCGAGGTTATTCGGTTATTGATTGTACCTACCTGAGAGGGTCGTGACCCTGCTGCAGAGTGGGGCAGCCAATGAGAGAACATTTTAAGTGTCTTGTGTCTCACCAGCCAATCACTGGGAGTTTCATGACCAGTGGTGCATCCTGACGGAGTGCATACAGTATATACTTAGGGGATTGCCATGTGCTTAGTTCCAGTCAACCCCCGGGCTTAGCCTGGGGGTGTGATGTTTAAGGTTGGAAAAGCTAACTAGGCCTCAAGCCTGTAGACCCTGGAGGGGTCAGTAACTGATTGAAAAAGAGAACCAGAGAAGCTGGAAGGCTACTGGAGGTGCCTGGTGCTGATATGGACCTCAGGAGCAAGTTTGGTGTCTCTGTTATAGAAGATCTCATGCCTGTCCCTGTTTAGCTGTTGCTCTATTAGCAAGTGTCAGCCTGTACCCTCTCTCCAAGTTGATGTTCTGTAATAAAGCATTTAAAAAAGGCACTTAAAGTGACTGGCATCCAGCTTTCTTGATCACACATCCCTTCACTGGCTAAGGATCTGCCCCTGAGAGTGAAATGTCAGCCCTCTCTGCCCTTTGGGGGTCCACAGGGCGCTACACCTGCATGTCTATAAATCTAGTCATACTGCTGCACAACTGTCCATTGTGTTTGGAGGATGCTGTGTACATATTTATTGTTACACTAAAAAAAGGTTACTTTTCACATTTTAGTATTTTTAGCTATAAAAGCGAAAAAAAGATATGAATGGTGTAAATGATATAATCAACGTGTTAGTTTATATGCACATTTATAAGTGTAAGTTGAATTTATATATGGATATGGGGAAAACCATATGTGCATATTACATATGCAGGTACTGCTTCCTGCCTGGCAATGGCTTTTCTTTACTGTTCCTTCTCTCAATGCAAATCTGTAAATTAGCAAAAACTATGCACTCTACAGTTGCTAAGCAGAGGCTGATTGCATTGAGCTACCAAGAACCTACTGCCTAATCTACAAATCTCTATCCATAATAACTTAACACAAATATAAAAGAGCAAGCATGTAAAATTTGAGTCATTTCAAAAATACTTTAATGTAAACACAGCAATAATACTTAATATGTGATCATTGCATACACTTTTCCTTTAAGATATAGGCAATCAGTTTTAACAGAATTAAATAATGTTATGTATAAAGTAAGGCTGATAAGTAGTTAGATTTACACCTTCAGTTAGTAGGGAATTTACAAATGGCCATATCCTATACAATATTCCTGGTTTAGAATATAAAGATTGAATGCAACTGTCTAATGTGCATGTAAATTGTATGAACTTGCTGAATTCAATGAGTTAAAGTTTTTTTTTTAAGAAAAAAATTGAGGAAATATTCATGTACAAGAGGGTATAGCTGTTATGACACTTAAGAAAAAAAGACTGTAATGATTACACTGAAGAGGGTATTTTTTACTCTTATTTAAATATGATGCTAATTAGCAAGGTAATGAAGTACACCATTCTTCTCCGAACTCGCACTTTCAAAAATGTTATCTGTAAGGTTCTCAAAGTCTTTCTTTGAGAATAGAAAGAACTTGTAAAACTTAAACTTTGCTGTTTTCATACAGCGCCAATGCAAATCCTATTGTTTAATGAACACTAAGAGAGAGCAGGGTTCACTACATGGTAACTTGCTCTCTTCTGACTATGTTTTCTAAACTGGAGCAGCTAAACACTGTCAGTGAAGACAGAGTGTTTGAATCTTAGAATACTGAGATTCTCTGAGAACTAAATGCTTATACTGAAACCTCTACATTAAAGACCTTATCTCAAAAACCCAAGCAAGGACAGCTTCTCCAGTAAAGGATTTTTTTTTCAGAATAAAGAAATACATGAGACTGGAGAGGGAGAGAGAGAGAGAGAGAGAGAGAGGAGAGAGAGAGAGAGAGAGAGATAGATAAAGTACAGGTTCACTTTAATAGTAGGCACGCCCAAGACTCATATTTTAGTAAAAGTCATATTGTAGTAGGTTGAATTCAGGGGCGTAACCAGAGATTATGGGGCCCCATAGCAAAATTTTGATGGGGTCCCCCAGCAGTCAATGATATTAAAGTCAGGTAGCAGGAGAGCTGCCTGCCTAGTCCCCCCTATGCATCTGATGACAGCTCTTCTTGATTATTAATGTCAGTGTCAGCAGCAACTTCTGCAATCCTTATTGGGGCCCTATTCCACCCCTAGGCCCCATAGCAGCTGCATGGGCCGCTGTGGCTGTTGGTAGGCCACTGGTTGAATTCACTTGTGAACTTTATTACATTTTCAGGTCTCCAGTTCCTAACTTTACCTCTTCATGCCAAGAAGGCTTATTTTTCATGATGCTGTGTGAATGGGATCACATAAACAAACATGTAGAGAGTTTTTTTCTCAAATTTGACTGCAAAAGTGAAAATACACTTTAAGGGGCCTGGACTATTACAATGTGCACCAGAGTTGAGTGTTGGTAATTTAAAGAGAAACATCATACTAGTTGCCAGAAGTGCAGACATCTTAATACCTGTAATATTTTGTTATCTTTAGCAAAATATATTAGCCTATATTTTCTCAGTCACTGGGCAGTGAGCATTTTTGGTTGCATATCTGTCCATTTATTGCACAGTTTTAAAGTTTTGTGCATGCTGTGCAAGTAAACAGGTTAGCCTTAGGCTGGGTTCACACCTGGGCGTACGTAATATGTGCGTTTGCACCGCAATTTGTGGTAAAAGAAACGCGCGACAAAACGCGTTTACGAGGGCTATCTGGCTGTAGCCTAATGAATACGAAGCTCCTGTACTTCTTTGGGCGTAGGGCATTTTTCAGCGCGTTCCTACGTGCTGAAATACGCCCAGGTGGGAACCATGCCCACAGGCAATTATTGGTTTTCACATGATGAGCGTTTTACAGCGCGTCTCTACGCGCTGTAAAACGCCCAGGTGTGAACCAGGCCTTAAAGTTATACTAAACTCAGGAGTTAAATCTCAAAAATGCATTCAAGTACCTTGACTATTAATACAAATGTAGCTTATTTGTAAATCACTCAGCTGTAGATCCTCAAATCATCTCTCAATTCATACTGACATGGTCCTTCCTTCTGGAGGGTGGCTACATTTCTTCCCCATATTCCTGTGTGTGTTGTAAAGTAGTCACCACTCCAAGCTAGCCACTGTGATGGACTACAATATCCTACTAATTAGCATTGGGATGTAGTCTACCACGTGAGCGAGCTTGGAGCAGTGGTAAGAAATAAGAATGGTGTCAGCACGAATTCAGAGAGGATTTGAGGATCTACAGATACACAAATAAGATACATTTTGTTAAAAGGTAAGGCACTTGAATGCATTGTTAAGATTTAACTCTTAGTGTCAATTTAATGCTCCCATCCTGCAACATATATTCACCTTTCCTCCCCACCTCCCCATTCAGCTGCCAAGAGTAAATAAATTACTCAATACATACGAGTATGAAAGAGCATGCATGCATCTCTCATGTGACAGCATTGGTGCTTGGTCTTTGGATAAATACTGTAAAATGGGGAGTCCTCAGTGACTGGAGAGATTCAGAACACACAGGCCTGTCTATCTTCACTACCAGAACAGTGTTGAAGAAAAGGAAAGGTAAGTATATGCAGCACCTTAAAGTAAAACTGCTACTTTGCTTTACAAATGTATGATTTAGCTACCAGTATCTACATTAAACTGGAACATAAGGATTAGATGGACTGATCTTTGGGTTCTTGTTACACATTTTTCCACAAAATTTTCAACTACACTGGCTGTTCAGAAAAAAAGTGTACACACTCTTATATTTTATTAGACTGCCTTTAGCTTTGACTACGGCATGCATTTGCATTGTTTATTTCCGTCCAGAGTGGCATTCATTTTTCACCAAGATCTTGTAGTGATGATGCTTACATGGAAAAAACATACAAAGGACAGACTTTTTAGGCACCCAAAGGACCAATAAGAGTATTAAAACATCAATTTATTGAAAAAAACTATCAATTAAAAAAAAAAAAAAAAAGAAGAGTATAAAATCCACATAGAAATCTATTGTAAAATGATTAGTCTTTTGTCACACTTAGAGTATCTCCTCCTTATATACATCCCAACATTCTATTCACATGTCCCAAATATTCATATATTCACATATCATCTTGATTGGCGTGTTTTGTAGGGAGATATTCAGAGGGATATTACTCTGCTCAATGCATTTCACGTACAGTTCCGCCTCATCAGGAGCAAACTAAGCAAAAGCTGCAGATATACAACATCAATGAAATCCATCCAAAATCGTATCAAATATTTGCTTATTTTACAGAAATCCATTATGGTAAGTACATGTATACATGTCCTTGGAGTAGAACATTGTTCAATATCTAAACTCAACTATTCGTGCCATACCAGAGAACCAAATATCTAAACTCAACTATTCATGCCATACCAGAGAACCAAACACCTGGGCGGGCGTAAGGGCATATATGTGTGATCCCCAGATTAGATCTATAGTAAAGGATATAGTATTCGTGATTGTTAAAGCCAGTCTCACCATATAAACATTGTCTGGCATTGATTACTTACATCTATCAATTCAGGCTTTATATACTATGGAGGGAGAGGGCCTCACACTGACAGCCATCACTATCGCCCCAGGTAGTGCTGATGGGAGAGTCGGACCACTGTGTAAAGTCTTCTCCAGCTCATCTCAAAGATTCTCAATGGGGTTAAAGTCTGAATTTTGGTGACAATGATGTCTCATGCTGACTGAACCACTCTTTCATGATTTGAACCTGATAAACGCCGGCATTGTCATAGTGATATATGCCCGTGCCATCGGGGAAGAAAAAATCCATTGATAGAAAAACCTGGTCATTCAGTATATTCCGGTAGGCAGCTGACCTCTTTTTTGAGGACATAATGTTGCTGAACTTAGACCTATTATGCAGTGGAAGGTTGTGACCTATTTGCTTAGCTATATGCAGGTGGTGACTTTTTTGGGGGGACAGGCAGTGTATATAAAAATACAGCACCAACTGCGCATAGGATAACGCACTATGAAAGTACACTTCAACACCCAGCATTTTTTATAGACACATGGGGATGATTTATAATTTTCCTATGCTCCATCTAGTGGCGGGAATGCCATACGAACAGCACGTATAGCTAGGAAGATGATTTTTAAATCATCCCCATATTATCTTCATATAAGATCTCATTAAATTCTATTACCTTCTGGTGGTCTGTTAGATGTTGATACAACAACTACTCCATTTCGAAACAGGTTTTCAAACAGTTGTTTTAGTATCATTGCATCTGCTATATCAGTCACCTGTAAAAGTAAAAGAATAGTTACATACAATTGTTATACCCCCTGCAATAAAACCCCCCCCACCCCTACTTTAAAATACAGGCCACAATAGGCAAACAGGTTTGACTTCAGAAATATTTAAAGGGAAAGTATAAGGGTTTTTGATTAGTTTTGTTTTACCCTTTTTTTTTTAACATGAACCACTTTATTTACTGTTATTTTATATAATTTTTACTTCTG